TTATTTACATAAACATGCTTTATACTTTACCCTTTTTTACTGATATTTCAATTGATGAAGTGTTATTTCTTATTCTTAAGGAGGTATCAGATAATGAATTCGACCACTAAACAAATTTTTCATTTTACATTTTAAATCCTTGTACAAAACTCAGTCATTGGTGACATTCCTTTGGAAAAGACACAAATGCGCCATATATTGTTTGTAATCAGGCCTAAAGGCAACATCATTAGTAATTCAGTAATGAGAGATAATTGCGTATACATGGAAAATGAAAATTTCTTATTTTTGGACATTTCTAAAGCAGCCAGAGATGAAACTCGAGATAAAACCACAATTTTTATCAAGAGATTACAATATCATCATCATCCTACAGTGTTTTAGCAGAAATAACTATAATGACGAAATTAGCACTTCTTCTGCTGCGACTATAAAGCAAATACATGACTATTATTATTCCTTTTCCTTTTTGTAATTAAGCCTAAAATCCCTCCTTTATAAACTGTAAATACAAACTTAGAATAAACATTTGCAACACTCATGCTTTTAGTAGTGTAGATGCATTTACATGTATTCACTTATAACACACCTTGTGCAGAATTATACCATGTAAGTTAATCCATTAAGTTTAACAGTCTACTATCTATATACTGGAAGATAGGAATATGATTTTTTTAAAATTACTGTAGATGCATATTATTTCACTTAATTATTAATAAATCCTACATTTTCCTGTATTCTCAACTAACTGGAATGTCAAAAATAAGTTTATAATGCAGATATGTAAATATTTCGGCGAGATGGTGGGAAACTCGCCAGCTGTTGTTATGCAGTCAGCATTTATTTCCATAGGAAGACAATAAACAGTCATTATAACCATTTTATTTGTAGTATTCTTATTCTGTGTCATTAAAGTATATCTCTTTTTTCCTCTGCTATGATTTTAATACTTTTTTTTCTGTTAAAAGATTTTGTTGCTTTTAATTATGTACTATAAATGAATGAGTTAGGTGACATCGCATACCTGGAATGCCTTTTTGGTCAATAGCCCGCATTCATACATTTCTCATCGTTTTATTAGAATGCAGCTTATTTTCTGTGATATTGTATTTCTACTGCAGTGAAAGTCTGAACAAAATTCTAGGCTATTGCTTGTGCATTTAGGAAGAAAATATTTTCAAGATTAACAAATTTTTAAGAATTAAAACTAAGTCATGAACTTATATATGTTATATTTCTATTACACGCTTTTCAAATAACGATTTTTTCCACTATCAATAAGTAACTGCATAACAAGAGGTGCCGGTTGGTCTCGGATAGTTAAGTCATATATATGGGAAACTTATTACCAGAAATAATATCGGAAGAGTAAGAATATAGAGCTACTGAGTTAATAAACGTATCAATCAACATAGTAGTTTATCTGTATAAAAAAGTGTGGTGACAGGTCAATATCCGAACGTTTAGCTAACAACATGTTACTAGGTAAACATTTATGGCAACCATCCTTATACATGAACGAGATGCTTTAGAAGAACATCTTCAAGTATATTCATTAACGTGGGGATTAATAGAAAAGCTGATTAGCATATCATTATGTATTAATATTTGCATTAGTTTTTTGAGGGGGAAATAAACACATTTCTTATGGTGGAGTAACTACCGTCGCAATTTAACTTTAGTTCCAAGCATCTCTGATCTTCCAAAGTGAAATCAGTGAATACTCGTGAACCATTAACTTACTAGTGTAGAAGAATTTTGTTGTGATTTCAAATCTGTGTCGCAAAACGATTCAAGTCACGACACACCTTTCATAGGACAGAGTTATGTACATGGTCAGGTTACTTGCTTTCCGTAGCTGTCGCTATCGAATTAGCAAGTCCTTCGACTAAGCTTTTTCTTCTCTGACTTGTTCATGAGGTTGCGGATGAACAAATTACTTCTGGAAAAGTGTTAGTTTCCACTTAACATTGTCATATCACTTGGTTCAGTAATCAGTAATCACACTGGAAAAATCCATACACTTGAACTAAAACTCAGGAATCAATAGACTGATTTTTCATTATCTAGAGATCATATACATCATTTGGATCTTCTTATTTATTATACTCATAAAAAAATTAACAGAATAGACAAGAATTTGGTAGACATCTAATTTTTAAAGCCTTAGGCCTTTCTTTTACAACAGCTTTGCATAACCTTTGCGTACCGCTGTGTCGCATGCTAGTTAACCGATCGTAAGTCAGGACATGTTAAGTCATAGTGATTTACAAGCAGTCCCCATATTACTTTTGATTGAAGATTTTTTTCATATGAAGAAAACTGTAAGCTTATTGACCCTATAATGCTAATATTCATCAATTTGTGATTTGTAAGTTATGTGCAATTGAACAGCAGAACTATCAACTTTAATCGCATAGAAAGATATTTATTTTATGGCTTAATTTGTTCAGTTTTATACCATTTTTTTGTATTGGTCGTATTTTTTAGAAGGCATATTCACTGCACTCGTTTGAAACATACTACTTAAAATACAATATTTCACAGAAGTTTGTTCAACTGGAGTTCATAAAACTGTGTCTCACTTGTCTTCTGAAGCGTTTACCTTCTCTTCTAAAATACAGAAATGTAATTCTTACTACAATCTCTAATTTTAACTCATTGTTTTGTTAATTCAACCGTCAACTATTTTTAGTACAAATTTCATTCTTATTCTTACTAAACTCTATTTAGTAAGCACTAATTGTAAGTCACAGTGTAGTACACAAGTCTCTCCTACATTTCCGTGTTTTATTTCCTCTTACTAAAAAGAAAACTTTCGTTCATAGTAAGTGACCCTATTAACTAGTTAGTCAACCTGCTAAAGAAGCAGTAACAAGGTGAGTCATTTTTCAAGAAAGAAAATATGATTCACTGACTACATTTTATTTAGTCATTACATTCATGAATAACTGTAGTAGTATTATTATAATGATACTAAGTAATTAAACTAAATTCACCTGATAATTTACCGCGAACTGTGAGTCACAACAGTTTCTGCCCTATCGTCTTACAAAAAGAGACTAGTCAGATCACTCTTTGACAAAGCGAGAAGACTCAGAAATGAAAACAGATAAGTTGAATCTTCTTGAAAGACATACACATGTAAATGATTACCCACAGAAGTTTTCACCGAAGAATTCGGAATAAACGGAATGTCAAAGTCATCATTTGGGTTTCACAGGGGACATTGTCTGGAAGAAATTACCGACGGTTTAACAGTTACATATGCATAACACTATTCAGACGTTTTCCCAGTAGGATAAAGATTGGTATCCATACGTCTGAACTTACTCCCAACTAGATTTTAGAATTTGTATTTAGTTACCAAAATATATACTTAGGATGAATGGAGAGACAGATATCCATCTTTTTCTCCAAGCACTCAGAAAGGTTCTCAGCCTTTTTAACTGAAAGTGGTTCAACACCTTGTCAGACTAGTTCCACTGAAAAAGAGTATGTTGAAAAGGTATAAGTACTTAAGACTGTTTGCATTCATACGGAAGGCTCAGAACAAAATGCTCACATTTAATACTACAAAGTTACTTCTTATGTAGTCGAAAATGATAAGTGGATCTGATTATATGAAATCAAGTCAGTTTACCAAATAGTTTTTTTCTGAGTAGACACTTGCATTTATCATTTACCTCCTTCATGCATAAACGGTGGTGAAATATATTCTTGTGCCTGTATCTGTCATGTGAGCTATCCTTCCATCGCATGACTTTCCTTTCTTGATGAAATTGTTTTATTCATGCCAAATGACAGTTCCAAAAAGGTTGATAAGTTTAAAATCAGATTTCTGTAAAGAATGACATCGTGTACACAATTAAGGAGTGAATATCGTTGAACATTTATGCTATTTTTAGACTAATCAAGGCTGTTAAATCACTGTTTGTATAATTACTTATCATTCACTCTTATGTTTCTTGTTGTCGCATGTGATCTAGGTAGGAGAATTATGACCATTGATAAAGTTGTAAGATGACAGTTCAGGAGACTTAATTAGTTTGAAAGGAAGGTGTCCATCACGAGAGCATCATATTTCAAGAAAATCTATGTTTCACCACAGAGTTCTATTTCATGGTTTTGATAGGGCGCCAGTTATGGTACTCAGAATGAACCAATAAAAAATCACTGAAGCTCCAAGCAGGCGCTTCATTTCACCATATCTGAAAACTAGTGTGGTATGTCATCGTAGTTATGTAAATTGATTAGCAGTTATTATAAGAAAGGTCTGAATAATACAAAAGTCTTATTTGTATTAAAGAAAATAGAGGTGAAATACATTTGTCTGCTTGGTTTTACTTTTATCAGCTTAGATCTTTAATTATTATTTATCTTCACATGAATAAAACAGATAGGAATTGGTGTCATAAATTGATATATCCTACCTGATTTTTCTGTATTTTAGCCTAAATTAGTATCACACTGCTTTGTAAAATGGTATGTTTTTGATACCAGCTCTTGCTTTTATGTATGACGCTCACATTGCGATTTCTTTATAAACAATGGGAAAATTTGTATTTGGCAGGTGTTTTGTATTATTTTTTCCACTGTATCCACCTGCTATTGCATCATATAGTTCATGGCAGGAAAAATAATGCATCTTCACACATAAGATAAGTGATGATTGTATCTTAATTACCTAATTGCCTTAATTATGGGTGAGTTTAATGCTAGCACGCATTAGTACTGTCTAATCACTTTGTATATGGAAGTTGAAATGGTCGCGTTTTTTTAACTACAGGCGATGAGGTCACCAATGCGTAATCGAAGTGATCCAGCTGTTTGTGGTTAAAGTAAATCTTAATCAACCAATTCTATTTGTAGTTTTTGTAATCTCAATGCATTTTTAAATACTATGCTACTAATTACTTTTTAAGATCGGTAAAAATTAATAATTACTAGACATTTTAAATACATTACGGTAATTTTTAATGTATTATTCACTTTAATAGGTGATTGCTGGTTTATTTAATGGGAGCTTATCAATTTGGGATTTGTATAATTATTCAAGTGAAATACTAAAGAAACCAACAAATTTCATGTTCGACTACGGCAAAGCCGTTAACGACATTGGTGACTGCATGAATTTCCCAGATTCGCCTGTTATATTACCACCAACGTACATAACTTCAGCTGTAGAAGTTCCAAATATGCATGATCCTAAATTAGCAGATAAACATTGTACAAAACTGCAAAATCACTTCAACCCGATTATCTCAATCAAAGCTGCCGAAGTTCATCAGCAACATTTCAGTCGAGTGGGAGTAAAAGAATCTTCGAAAGCTGTCGATAAATTTCAATTTGTTGTGCTAGACGAAGTTGGTAATCTGAGTTTGTGGTTAGTTCTAACAAATCGGAAACGTGGACTACAAAATCCTGTTGAAATTCTTGTTGGTTCACAAACAGATTTTGGGCTATCCCCAGGAACTGGTCAAATACACTTAGTGCGTTTATTATTCATTGAGAATAAATTAACACACCATGTACGTGAAATAATATCACTTTACTTTTGGCTCATTACTAGTAGATGATAAATAAAGAATTATAGACATTTCATCTAACTGTTTGTCGGTCTGTGTTCAGAATGAGCTGTGTCGGTTTGTATGTGTTGCATATATATATATATGATTAAGCTATAGAATTTGTGAAAATGTGGATTAACTGTAAAATGACCATGATCAGGAATTAATAATAGGCTGAAGGACCAATAAATAAATACTCATACTCTTCAGAGATGTGTACCATGACCTCAAGTATCGAGAATCGTCAGCTTTATGGTGAGCACACTTCGATTAAGCAAATGATCCAGTAGTCTGTGTCATTCTACAATATCGTGTGGCTATCACCCCGTTATGCTGGTCAATAACTATCTTTGGACTGTAATTTGGTAATGGTAGCTCGACCAAACTGGAATTAGCTTCACTGGTGAAAAGAGTGGGTTAGAGTATGTTTTTCTTTCAAGTAGCAGATACTTTACTTGATGTACAAACCAAAAGTAGATACGTAATCCTTTCCTTACATTAACCTGTGAAAACGAACATTAAAATATGAAGAGTGTGTTTTGTAATATAATTGGGACTAGAATTTTAATATCCAAAAATCATTAAAATTCTCGGCTTGATGGTTTCGCAAACTGTTTTTTGATCAACAGCAGAGGGATATTCACTAATCAGAAATGCCTAAAATGAAACCAAAAGCCAGGACTTGGCTGTATGACTTCAGAGTTCTTTCAGGATGGTGATGAGTTACTAGCTGGATCAACTATGGTACTAGCCATTTTAAGGAAATCTGGGGTACTTCGACTAAACTAGTGTACACCATCTACGTCGTAACTTAAAAGGAAAGAAACAAATCCTCTTTTGATAGAGACAGGGGATCAGTTTGAATAATATGGTATATACTATCCACGGTTTTGCTTTTCTGCTAAGACTGAGTGCTGCTCGAGAAGAAGGAGAAAACCAGGAGGACTTTAGATTCGCACGAGGATGTGTTGTTTGTGTGTTCAACCCTAGATATGTTTTGTAACATAAACATATTAACCAGAGTCGAACATATGCCATGTTTCTGGATTAGAAGGCAGCATTTAACTTCACCTATCGAGAGTTGCTGTGGCAGTGTCTGGCTACGAATGAAGAGCCATAAAAATAATATCATCCTCAACAAAGCATTTCATGGGAACTCGTGAAAACTTGTAGGAACATATAAGTTGTTATCTAAAGTAAAGAGAACCAGTGGTGTCCGTCAGGGATGCTCAGCGTCTCCACTTTTCTTCATTTGATTACAGACATATTGATAAGCGTGACTCTGACAAACTTTGACATCACAGCAACAGATTTGACACAATGAAAGAATTTATTTGGTTTAGAGTATGCAGATGATATAGTCGTTTCACATGAAGATGCTGATAAAATGTACTCTTCTGAATACTGAACGAAAATCTTAGTATGTTTGGCATGCGACTTCTTCTTGCCATGTGAAAGATTATATTCCAACCATGTCTGCATCAACTCTTAGTTTAAGAATAGCCGGTATGATAGTAAATTTACTTGACGACATTCGTTTAGTGATAAGAGCTTCGATCAATGCAAGCCAATAAAAAGTAGAGATTTAACGTAGTTATATTAAACTGTTATTGTCACTTATTGTTATTATATTGACAAAGTCCGTAACAATAATTCACCTAAGTGAAGGGATTTAGCAGTATCCCAAACTACTTTTTAACTCTTGGACTATACTCTGACAGAAAACAATTATCACCTAGAAGAAGCAGTGTGAAGAAGACTTAATTTTAGCAAGTCTTCTACCTTGCAATTTGTGTTTTATTCGTTAGATTCCAGATTATTTAAAAGAAGATCGGATGAATCATCAACATGATACACAAAGTGTGGACGGATTATATCAATTTGATAAAATAATAGCAACTTGTCTATCCGTTACTCAACATGGAACTTTCTTGATCGGTTGTAGCAATGGAAAAATTATACATCGTGGACGGTTGTCTAATCGAACGGTTCATCCCAAGTTGTTTTCAAGGCCGACGAGTTGTTCCGCTGTACAGACAATAGCTGGTCATCCAAATGAGTCACTGCATTTGTTTCTTGCAGGTTAGACAATTTTGCCTGTTCAGTATGCACAAGTGTTAGATTTTTGTTTCAATTAATTATCGTAAATGAGATTTATTGTATCATTCTGATGGTTGTATCTCTTTTATTTCCCACTTTGTACAAAATCAATACGAAGTGAAAGGTAGTGCAGCTATCTGGTCAGATAGTCATAAATGGAGTTATTCGTGAACTCAGAATCCTCATGATAAAAATCAATTACTCTGAAAACGGGCTATGCAGATTCAAATCTCGGAGACAATATGTATTTCTCTAAGATTTCAAACAGAATTTACTGACTAGCAATTACAAGCACAGGAGCAAACTGCACAACTTTCATCAGATGGACTTCTGTCAGACGCTATATCCATCTAAAAAATAAGTACTTATCAGTTTTCTACATAATGCTGGTGAAAACTTTACTCCATTTAGTGAAATCACCCAGTTGAAATGAAATATTCACTGACCCATTTCCTCAGAGTACATTATGCAGTGTTTATTTCACTAGCAAAGTGTATTTGTGAGCAACAGATAATATTTTGTACCTTTAAAATATTGCTTTAATGTTACGAAATAATTCTACGAAATAAACAGAAAGGATCATAGTTTGTGGCCAAAGTTTACTGGAAATGTTTAAGCACCAAAATTTTCGATAAATTATTCCCAATCTTTTTATTTCTCTAGTCAAAAATACAAGCATTAGAGCATTTATGTAAACATATGTTTGCTTGTATAGATTCAGTAATGGTAGGAGACATTAACAGAAAACAACTGTTTATCTAATCTGTTTTCTGAGAGAAAAAAGTATTTAGGTGCATACCATTCACGTAGTCAGTATACAATAAACAGAATGTACAGATGTAAAAATCATGTGTACTGAGGTCACTAGACATTATTTGATTATGATTTTAAATAGTGATGATGATAACAGTATTAGTACTAGCGATTATTCGGTACCAAAAATATGAGTGAAAGGTGTTAAATTAGAAAATTTAAATAGACAAGTGAAAATGAAACCCAGAAAACAAACTCCCAACTTTGTTTCTACTAATGCTGTTGTTTTTTTTCAAAATGTTTACATTAAGTTGCAACAATAAAGCAATTTGTACATGATAAACATCTTCTTTCTACATGTGTTATAAATAAGTAAATAATCAAATCAAGTTACAAGATACTTTTCAACGGGAACTGTACTATCATGAAGAACATTTGGCGTCTATCTCATCGACGGTGATAAAGCCATTCTGAGAACATAATTTAGATGTTTTCTTGGAATTCTGTCAACCAGTAACTTGAGACAGAGGGTGTCTAAGTTTCTGCTTGCTTAAATTTTCAACCTGTTTATGCAAATTTATCAAGTAAACCAAATAGCAAGGAAATTATCTTCTGACATCATACGAAAAACATTATGATGGTTTCTTTTTACTAAACCGAAACAGCAATACGGATTTCTATGTGGTAACTTCCGATGCTCTCAAATGTGTATTTATGTGACTGGCCGTAACTTAGAACGAAACTCAGAAATGTTAGATCTTTTATAAAGTGTTTGTCTACTGATTGTTTGGGAGATGACTAGCTGAAAGCCATCCGGCAGTATGACCTTATCGTAAAATTGGGCTGAAGAAATTAGAAACATCCTCCCACCTTTTGCTGTTGCAAGCACTTAACCACTAAATACAAACCAACTTTCATTTTTTAAATGCATGAATCTTTTTGGTCCCATTAAATTTCAGAGTGGTCATGTTAGAACATAATTACATGCGCTGATACAGACAGGAGACAGAGGGAAACATTCTTCACCGTCACTGCCGATATTACTTGTGGATGCCATTTTAGGCTTGAGTTTTAATTACTTTGATACCTTAAGCAATCTGCAAAAATTTCATGTCTTATTGTGGCATTTTGGAATTCTCTAATTATATTGAACTGTGCAATTCCTCGGGACGAAATTTGAAGGAAAGAAGTGAAGAATAAGCGTATATGAACGCTCCACTTAATTGTTTTGCTCCTTATTTTGCCAGATGTACATATTTGGTGTTACTTCCCTTTGTCTCACTGACTGCAGAAACACTTATTTCATTTATTAAATTAGTTGACTGAATCAGTTATTATCAGGGTAAAACACTTTTACCATAGGTCCATTTCTTATCAGTGTGCCTTATTAATGGCGGTTTTGAGTTGCTTTACGTCAACAGTCACCTACCAACAACACTTTTTAAAGTAAAAGGATATATTCATTGAATTAAATAATTAATAAGACCCGTTGCACTATAGGTGGTTCTCGTAGCCCAAGTAGTCTAGTGGATAACGCTTTGGCGTTTGAAAATATGGACACTGGGTTCCAGGCTCGGTGAGGACACCATCATTCATTGGAGAATGCAGGTACATCAAGTTGACGAGTCTCAAATAGGACGAAATGAACATTCTGGATTCCACTGCTAGTCACCATCCACCAAACAGCTTGAAGTGATATATTTCAAAATTAATTCGATAAAAGGTTTAGGGATTTTCGTCACAGTTTTCGAATCTCTTCAAAATGGTTTATGTGTTGAATAATGGTTGAGTCAAACACTGGATCTATGGCTTCAGATACTTAGTAGATAGAAAGTAGCACTATATATTTGTCTCTGGTAATATTAATTATAGAATGTCGATTTTATTATTATCATTATATTATTGTTTCCTTTAGTTCCTACAGGAACATAGGGCTTCAGCCGCAAGTCGCCATAATAGCCTTGTCGATATCCTTTTGCTTGTATACGCTGCCACCAATCACTAGTTCATTGAAGGCTCAGAAGTCAGCGAAGAGTTTTCCTTTTTCATTCATCTCTCCGAGAGCTTCTCTACCCATGATCAGTTCTCTTCCTGAGCTCTCTGGTCCCAGTTTGGCATTCACGTCTCCCATTAGTATTTTAATGTCACCGACTGGAGTATTGTCCATTGTTGTCTGTAGTTGTCTGTAGAATTCTTCTTTCTTTTCGAGATCTGCATTGTTTGTGGGTGCATAGTATTGTATAACTGACACTTCCCTTCCTTTGGAGTTGAATCTAGTGGTTATTATCCTGGATGAGATCGCCTATCATTGTATCAGGGCCTTCGTTGCCGTTGGTGACATCATGATAGCCACACCCTCGGTGTGTATATGGTTATCTTCGGGGTAGGAAGCTTTGCCGAACTCATACATGGTGCGGACGTTCCATGCCTCCAAACGGACTTTTTCTTTTGTCACAGGGAAACTAACCGTGCTGAAGTTTCTGTAGCAACTTTGTTTACAAGGTGGGGTTGCTAGCCTCACGCCTGAGAAGGGGGTTGTTACATGAATGTATAGGTTACAGCGTAGCGACTTTTGGGAAAACAACGTATAAAGCAATCGGAACAACACAGGCAAAAGGAAACTAAAAAAGATTTACAACAGGAAGGGCAGCGACAACAACAATAAAAAACCGTAGCAGTAGTATCACTGCCAAATACAGTTAACAAAAATGATATCAAAACCATAGACTCACTGACTTGGGTCAACTTGGGTATGTAAATCCAACAATATATACTATTACAGACATTAATTAGTGTTATAACACTGTTTATAAACAGTCACAAAATGCCAAACAGACAGTTATAGGTATTATAAGTCAACAAGATTATATCCACAGATTCAATGTTCGACAGTAAGATAATTACAATAAATTCCACAACCTCCTGGCCAGAAACACGAGAGAAATAAGAGTTCTGTGTAACTAAGCAAACCTCGTCTAGATTATTAGGTCACTAGTATTCTAGCCGGTCATTCTGACCAAATTGCAACTCTACGCATCATCATCGAACAAAGTATGGAATGGCAATCAAACCTCTACCTCAACTTTATAGACTTCGAGAAGGCCTTCGACAGCGTTGACCGCGAAGTAACTTGGAAACTACTCAAGTAATACGGCGTACCCCAAATGTTCATCAACCTTATTCAACAGCTGTACGACAACGGCACATGTCAAGTGATCCACAACGGAAAACTCAGCGAAGCGTTTGGAGTAAACACAGGAGTCAGACAAGGGTGCTTATTATCACCAATGATATTCCTAATTGTGGTGGACTGGATTATGCGTCAGACAGTGGGAAACGAGAAGACAGGGATATCCTGGAACACTGACGTGAAGAACCTAGAAGAGGTGGATTTCGCGGATGATTTATGTTTGATGTCACACAAAATCGAAGACTTACAAGCGAAAACCGACAAACTGGTCAGAGAAGCAGCAAAGACAGGACTCCGGGTGAACATAGACAAGACGGAGGTTATGAAAATAACCAACCAACAACAACAGCAGCAGCAACATCCAGCGCCAATCACCATCAACGGGAGGGATTTGAAAGAGGTTACTTCTTTCACTTATCTAGGGAGCATTGTCTCAACTACAGGAGGAACGGACGAAGATGTCAAATCAAAAATCGGGAAGGCGAGAAACACATTCATCAACCTGAAACCAATCTGGAAATCTTCGTCACTCAGCATCAACAACAAAGTGATTTGGATTTTCAATACAAACGTCAAGTCAGTTCTTCTATACGGATCAGAAACTTGGCGGGTCACCAAGAATATTTCCAACAGGTTGCAGACCTTTATCAGCAGCTGTTTTCGTTCTATACTGAAGATCAGATGGCCGGAAAGAATCACCAACAAGAAGCTATGGGAACAAACAAAACAAGAACCAATCGCTCAACAAATATGCAGGAGAAAGTGGAGATGGATTGGACACTCACTCGCTGAGGAGGCCGTTGGGTGACATCGCGCGTCAGGCCATAGCTCGAGTGGAACCCGAAAGGGAAGCGGCGAGTGGGACGTCCAAGGGTGACATGGAGGAGATCGTGTGAACAGGAACTGAAACAGTATGGATTAACATGGATGCAAGTTAAAAATACAGCAGAAGACAGAAGCAAGTGGAGGCGTGCAGTTGAAGCCCTATGTTCCACTAGGAACCCAAGGGAACAATAATAATAATAATAAAGCAAACGCAACGTACTAATCGAAAAGCCTGGCTTATTACCGTTGTTTCACGTTAATAATACTTTCCATTTATTCATTCTAAAAGTAAATGGTTCTTCCACTTTCAGACTACCAGATTATTTTAGCGTTTAGTTAAATTTTGAAAGGAATATGTAACCATTATTCTTGCTCTGTAGGCAGTACCGCTGTAATAATTCTTCTTCATCCCCGTAATTGTCATTGAATAATGCAGATAATTACCTGTCAAAAGTGAATGGAGTACATATGCACGAGTAAAAATGTATACTAATCCGTGTAATTACAAGCCATGGATCTTGATTTTTTTCTTCCCTGCTTTTTATTCATTTGCATAATATCTTATCTACGCTTCATATATATCCAAAAAAGCTTTTATTTAGTCTACTGGAAACTACCTTTTAGCTGTATAACTAATTTTCAATGCTTTAATTTAGCCGGTTGACACAGTTACTATCTATGCATGCACATATGTTTATAAAGAGATTAATTGTCAACACTACTTTTTTTTTCTTAATCTTACACCGTGTAGCGCATTCTGTAAGCTACAGCTTCTCTTTCCTACAGTAAAGTTAGTAATAATCTGAAGCAGTTTCATTTGTCATTTGATACCATGAGTCTGATTATATAACCATCTGACTATATATGATATATGCATAAAAATCCAAATTAGAATTAATGCATGGCCTATTTTACTATAAAAACTGAAGTTCCTCAGCCAGTTGGAGTGGTATTTCGATTTGGAAAATATAAAATACAAGGAATACATGAAATGCCAAAATTAAACTAAACAATTATTATTTAGTACACGTTTTCTTGTTTATTTGCATATTCATAAGGCAGTAAACTTTTTCTTAAGTACTGACAGTTACTTATGACATGGAGCAATGCTTACCAACGTGATTTTCCTTGTAATTTGTCTTTCTGACGATGTTACTGATTATATTAGAGACACTAGAAACAGAGTAAGGCATCTAATTTATCAGCGAGACGCTGGTCAAGAAATGTGAGAAATATTTGTAAGACTTGTGAACAGAACAAGATAAGGTTCGAAGTTGTTGCAGATGCGACATGCTAATGATACCGAAAGCATGAATCTAATAAACAGACAAATCATTAATGAAATGTTCTAAAAGCACAAATCAAGCCACCCCGGAATCAATTAAAGAAAAGATTAAAATAACAAGCGTATATATATATATATATATATAACGACAAAAATATATTTTAAATGGACCCGCAGCACCAGTTGATTCAATAAGGACTTTTCAGTCAAGAAACAAGATAAGTTCCACAATGCTAAATTAGAGTTTACACTTTTGCACAACATTCTGTGTTGTTCTGTTTAGTTACCTAAACCGTCTAGACTGGATGTCTATGGATCTGAGATATGATTCATTTAATACATGCTAAGATCGCATTAGCTTTATATTGAGCGCACAAACGGGAAACAGAAAAAATAAGCCCACTGCATAACTAACTGCGATATTATTCAACTTCCTTGCATATAACAGTTTTCATTATTCCAGTATTTCAATTGTTTAGCTGTAATTAGAGCTCCCTGTAAAATATTTTTCTGTTAACTAGGTTACACAGATGGCAAAATTTGTCTCTACAAGACAAATCATGCGCAACCGGTACTTGAATGGGATATTATCTCATCATTAAACCCCTCTGAAAGAAGAACAAAACAGGAAGGTGACACATCGGCATCAACAGCTCAATTTACAGACCTATGTAATCAACTGCTTCCCGGTGTACATAAACTATTATGGTCGAATACGCACTGTTCCGTATTTTTTAGTCTGGACTCATTTAATCAAATCTTGATGTGGGATATTACAAATGTATCGAATTCACCGAACAGTTTTACGCTTCTAAACAAAAGTAATTTTTATTTAATCAATGAAGATCAAATGCAGGTGAACTCGAATGAGAAGAGCATTTTATCAAATCAGATTAGTGACATTTGCCTAAGTGTACTGCCTAATATGAATAATACCACTGAAGCTCTATTGCCATCAACAAGAGTGAGACGAAATTACACACCTTATATAATTCTTGTTTATCCACACAAAATCAACTTATACCAGATCAATTCACTTCGGATGAATGAGACAGTGAATGATATCTCTTCACTAATGAAGATAATAAATGGATTTAATGATATCACTTAGCTTTATTTTGATCAGCCATGACTGATTTTTGTTTTTTCATTCGGTTGTTGCATTTTTGATTTTATCTGTAATTTGTAGACAATTTCTCTGCTTTTATTACTTTTTTCACATTTGATCTTGAAAGTGCCATCGAAATGAAATAGTGTACATAATAAAACTTGTTTCTCTTTTGAAGAAAAGAGTGTAGTAAACAGGCATACTACATGCCTGATTATCTGTGATAAGCTGGGTGATAACAGCTCGACAGATGACAGCAACAAAGTTGAGTTGCTTGCCAAGACTGCGAAATTCCACGTTTGTTAAACTGACATATATTCCAGCAAGTTGAACTGGCATATAAAGTTCATTAGAATAAGTGTAAAATGTGGCGGCAATAAAACTTGTCAATTAGTGATGAAAATACATAAGGTGACATACTGTTGAAACAAACCATCCAATAGACTATTAGGTTTTTGAGAAAATTTGTCGAAATGTTATCAATAACTGATTAATCACAACTCTTTAAAAGATGAATCAGAATAACATTGATACATTCGTAAATTTCACTCTTTTTAAACCGAATATCTTAAAGCTCTATAACTACTGTATGAGTATTAACAGATTAACTTTCTAGTAATCGCTTTAAGTGTAATCACACTGATTTTCTGTCTGTTTTGTCAGATCGTAATTCCAGATGAATTTTTCCACTGATGCATGTGATATTGAACATTTTAGGACGTGTTTGTTTAAATTACATGCAGAAGCCAGAAAGATTAATTACTCAACAAGCAGCTGATAACGTCAGAACTGATTCATTTGCCTGCACAACGTAGACGTAATAGTAGAGCTTGTTTACAATTTTTCACAACTACTGCTTATTTGCCAGGGCTGTTTTCCCTCACTTATCGATGTGAATCATCTCATCATTGAAAGCATACAACACGTTTGTTCTACTGACTATTATGATTACTTATTTATTTTATTCCTTTGCGTTCCGAGTGGAACATAGGGCTTCAAGCTGTGAGCTCTGAAGTTTCAGTAGCACTGGTCACTGATGATTATGCATAAGTTTTTTTAAAGCATCACTCTTAATTTGTATTTTTTTGTAGCAGACGTGATCTGTCTGAAATTTATTTAGTAGCTAGAACGTTATTCCACCTAGTAATATTGCACACATGTGCACAAATATTTTATACTGGAGTAGGTTTCAGAAGTTTATCATAATTTGTGCGTAACATCTGCTACCTCGAAATTTAAAACAAGATGCAGCCAGTAAAAAATAACTTAATGTTGAAAATGAACGATAGCTTCAACACATATGTTGTGATATACAATAACCTAGTGAACAAATTTAACTCTGTACACAATGTAAATCTCTACATACTACTGTACATCGTTCGAATTCATAACTAGCTTTAGCTTGTAGAAACAAAATCTGTAGATTGCTAATGGCATTTTTGATACCTTCTGAGGTTGTAGAGTCAGAAAACAGTCGATGATTATTTTCATTACTTATGGTATGAATTATGTCAGTCAGTACTGTACTCATTATACCATTCAGCTATACCATACAGCTATTTCTCTTCTGCATCAGCTAGTTAAGCAATGAAAACCTGGAGCACATGCAAATCAACCAAATCGCCGCTGGTTATACAACCAACTAAGCATTAGAGTATTCGATTTTAAGTATTATTTCAGTAGGAACTCTGCTAGCTTGTATTAATGCCTGAAACATATATGACAAAGTAAAAGTCGAATATTCTTTGCCATATGAATTCGTGAAAATCACCCATGAAATCAAAATCTTTAACAATGATCTGTTTGCAGACCACCTTTCAGACTGGAAAGCATATAATCAGTTAGTCAGTGAGAGGTACACCTAACCTGGCGAGGGAGCTTCGTCTACGGACTTTAATTAATGATAACTATTTGGTAATATTTTTGCTGTTGTTTATTTGCCATCTAATTTCGATCTGGCATTATTTAGTTAGTAGCTGTAGCTGTTGTTGTTTGCGACTACATATATATATATATATGATTTCTTAAGAGATTGCCAAGACATATATCACGCATGTTTTGACAGGAAAACCATAGCTATCTTTTCATGATCCATCATGGAAGTGACTTCTAAATATCACATTCCGATATGGTATCAACTTGGTTATAAAACTAATCTTATTTTGAAATGGTTTTGCAGGTGTTTTACGTAGCATGATTCCTGTCAGATGTTTACTATTGTATAATGGAAATTGTGTTGTTATGATTTTGTAAGTATCAGATTTTAAATATTGAAAGCCTTAATGAGAATCAACATGATTGTTGATAAATGACCGTCTACTAATACTTATGCTTAAGTCTAGTATGAAGTCTAGAACAGGCTGCTACGTGTATATCTTTCATATAAAGCCGCATAAAAGTAGAGCAGAAGTGATTGTGGTTTCCAGATTTATTTGAATTTCAGCTTTTGGCACATTTTCCTATAAAAGAAGTAGCGTTGTTACTGAACACACTGAGCTCAATTCTCTAAAGAGGCATCGATCTGAAGGAAACAACCGGTATCTCTTACTGATATTTGCTGGAAATATCAAACTGATGTGTCTTTAGGTTAATTTGTATTTCCCGTTGAGTGATTACTTCTATATCTACTCCTAGTACAGAGGCTTCAACGATGCCTGAGGATTAACATGGAGTTATTTTGGTTGATTGTGACTAGCCCTGGAATTTAGGATGCTCGCTCCGCCCTATTTGGGATTCATCTGCATTCCCAGTGAGTGAGCCTTAACAATAATATATCAAACCGAGGTTCATGGTCTTCTGGTGACCACCCCGGCCTAATTTGAATTTCATCAATTCATAACCAAGACCTATTTCATATAATGATCACTGTTTCCAATATAATCTGCTAAAAGCTTAACCCGCTGGATGATTTGTGAAAGTCTGATCGAAAAATGATAAGTAAAACGTTACAGGTACAGATTAATTCCTAAACCAAATTGTTTCTGACAGATTCACTACCTTGATTTCATCTCAACGAGGAACATTAATGAGCCGACTGAAATGAGCTTGAGTAGTTGTTAATCAGTAATATGAAGGAAGAACACATTTAACACAAAAGTTATATTTTAATTTCAAGACTTCATAAAAACATACTTGACATATATATATATTTAGAGTCAAAATCTCATTCATTTTAGTTTTCTTTGCAACAATGCATTTCCCATACTTATGTTCTTGTTATTGTTACTGCTGTTGTTGTATTGCATTCTTACAGTGATCTCAGTTAAAATTCATCTTGAGTTTGACAGAAGAAAAAATAAAAAGGGACATTCAAAGAAAGAAGCCCTTTTCTGTTAATTATTTCTTAAAATGAAGATAAAAGTTATGTACATTAAGCAGTATATATATATATATATTCACCCGTGTAAACAATAAAATGACCACTAGTGTAAGAGTTAATTAGATTAGATTTTGCAGTGTGTGAATACTAGATATTAATAAAAACAAAGAAATATAGTATTTTCGATAATAAGAATGGAATTTACAGAATGGAATTCTGTAAACAATTACAAAGCTCTTTTATACACATATAGATATACATAAGCTTTTTAGTAATTGTTACGTTATTTAGGAAATATAAAAAGAAAAATTTAAAAGAATTGAAGAACTAATGCAAGCTGATGGTAATAATAATAGTGTAGACAAGCAAACTGTTTTCAAAGGCTTCTTGCTGCTGTTCGAATTCATACGGATGACTGTCTGCTAATTATTTCATTCTAGTCTCCTAAGGTATAAGCAGAAAGGTGGACGAGAGGAAAAATATAACATTTTGATATGCTAGTTTCATAGTTTGTGTCATGGTGTAAAAATTAATTAAGACTGAAGAATATGTGCACTTCACAGACGCTTGGAGTAGATGAAGTAGAAAGAACAATGAAGTAGAACTCGACGGAAAGACTGTGAAAAATGTCAAATTTCTTCTTGAAAAAATATACTAATACATACTACGTAAGCAGCCAATCAACCTTTATAAAGAACTTTTGGTCTAGGAAATAAACAAAACTTTAACAATTCTGTTCAAAAGTGTTTGAAAAAAGAAGTAGCATGATAATAATCAGTGCGATCAGTAGGCGTAACATTAATGTCTTGGAAATATGCAAAATTCATAGACACAGACAGGAATCAGTTGGAGAAACATATCTTCTGAGAAACTGGGTAATTCTTGTCGGGACAAAATTTAATAATAGTAGTCGTGAGGATGAGAATTCTATCGTGAAACTGTTACACTTATTATTTCATTGTTAGAGAATATTTTCACAGGTATACTACACTTGCATAAACACAAACAGAAGGTAAGGTAAGGCAACACAACGGGTAGATTTCTATTGTTGAAATACAATACTTAAAAGAGAAAACTGTAAATAGAGACAGATTAATAGAAATAGAATCTTAGAATCAAATTTTTCTATAGTCTTGCAAACAGGTGTAGATACTCCAAGTTTCGATGTGTTAAGTTATTGTAGGAAGGAAAAACGGGAAGAATAGCTAAGATTTAACAAAATTACAAGTTTATCTTCGTGTTACATATTAAGTTAGCAAGTGATCATTGCTATTACTTTATTTTTGTCACCCATGTTAAATAATCACTGATCTGTAATACAAATAAATTTTAAAAAAGTGCTAATGTCTGTTTAAAAAGGAGTGAAAGCATCAATAGGTGAAAAATAACTTGGACATAATGCCTTACAAGCCTTAACAAGCATACACACATTTACACTCATAAATCTACGTAAGCACGCATGTGCACTTTCCTCAAAAGACTATGGCATGTACAGGTAAATCAAAACTCTAACCAACATCACCGGATGAATAGAGAAAACAGGAAACGACAGAATAATTTTTGTGCAGAATGTCAGAAATTGGATTTTGTCACATATCAAGAATAGTGGTCATAAATAAAGTAAGATTCACCTACTGGTGATAAGATGGAAAATAGTTATCATGCAATAAAAGGTAGATTTTAGTCGAAAAAGTATTTTACGAGAAGTAATATAACTTCTTGTCTATAACAAAGAACCATAAAGGCTTTTATGCGTTTATATATATATATATATAATATTATATACATATAAGTGAATCGAGAGAGATGGGTAGTCAGAGAAAGCAGCTGAGTTATACAACCAAAATCTTAAGAAAGAAAAATGTGTACACACAAAAGTAGAGAGAAACAAATAAAATGTATCTTTAGGTAGTGTAAAAACGAGCAAGCAAATGAAATAATCTTTGTTCCAGCACGTGACTCAGGTGAACCGGTCTAAATCTATCACTTCCCTGCTACAAGTTGTAATTTGTTAAATTGTGAGAATAAATAATATAGTTTGAAAGTCCATTTATTACTTTGACTTGTTTCTTAGCATTTTGAAGTCATCATCCATATCTTGTCAGCCGATAGATGTGATGCTGTGCTCTGCATCCTTCTTGAGCAACTTCCAAAACATATGCGATGCACAATAAAACTTCATCAGTCAACTTGTTTGTAAGAACCTGGAGTAAATGAAATGATAAGAACAAATACAATTATTAAAATGTAATATTCTTTATAGATTAGTTTTCAAAAATTTGAAAAAGTTCACTTAGTAGAATTTAAGATTACAAAATTACTTGCTCAACAATAACTTCACAAAAAATCAAATTCTTGCTTTGAAGTGTGTGAAGACAAAGCAACAAAATATACTCAACCGGTAGGGCAGGCCTTATTTCAGAACCTGCCACAAATTCCAGGGTGTTACCTTGACTTTTAATTTAAAATACACAAAAATAGATGCAGCTCAGGGTTATGGAACTCTTCAGCAGTACAGACCCACTGGGGTTCAAACCAAGGACCTTCCAGTTACGAGGTGAGCTCGCAAACCATTTAGCCACTGGGACACGACCCAATGGTTCATGAATTCCGAATTCTTCCAGTTTGCCCCAAACTAGGACAAAACGGTACGGTCCAGTACTCCCAGGTTTTCCAATGGCTCTCTAACTGATGTCAGCTCGTGACCAATCCTGTAACCGATGAAATCCCTGCAAACCAACAAGTGATTAAGAATTTTGTGTTCTATTTACTACTATGTTTTAGCATGAATATGTTACTCAACGTAATGACAATGATTTTGATGGATATTTTTCCTCACGCATCCATTTCAATTTTTATTTCTTCTTTCAAATGACGGTTATTGCTTTAAAGGAACTTTTGATTACATTTTTATACAGCTTTATTTGTTTAAATTTACCCTTTTTGATATAATTGACAGTAAATAAGTCATTTGGGCAATGAGGAACACTACTATGCTTCATAAAAGAAATATTAGATCTTAAGTCTTTAAATAGATTTAGTGTAAACTGTAAAACTAGGACTCTCGTTTTGAAAAAGATACACAAAAACAAAGTGACCATTATAGAAATTAAGTAGTGCTACGCAGTACAAGGCAGGCATTTTGGTAGTAATTATTACTACCAATATACAGATAAGTAGTCATAGATAAAGCAGTCATTAAAATAGATTTATACGCTATTTAATCAGTTCCCTTTTCAAATACTCAAATAGAAATCATTCAAGTAGTAAAATTCATTTGTTTCTAAGGCTTCCGAAAAATTTCATGATACTAAACACTAAGAAAGACGAGTGATAATAGTAATGAGACTAGTAGTGTAAATAGTATAGAAGAAGTGAAGCTTTTAATTCTTTTTTTTAAAAAGGCAATTGACAATGATATCTTCTACTCAACATATAGCCTAAAATCAGCTTAAATTAAATTAAAATGTCGGATACAAGTACTGCTTATGGTAGCGTGAAGATTTTTCTGGTATGAATAATAATAATAGTATATATATATATGTATCGCCAAGGCAATAACTTATGAAGAAAGCATTCAGTCACAAAATATGAAAATACTTTTTAAAAATCTGTTAAGAGTAGCCATCAATACAACAATAATGTTCCATACTTTGCTTTTGTGTACAGAATGAAACGAGTTCATTAAGCAGTGAAAAATAAGAATGCTTTTTTGGAATATAATGAAAATATGACGAAAGTAAACAACAAAAAGTTCTCAGATTTATATCCAATCAACCATTTCATACTATAATGAGAAATTATGTCTGTAATGTATGTACTTGTGAATAGTTCGTGTTCATGTAGTGAGTAGAATTAGTATTGATATTAAAATGATAATAGTAGTGCAAGGCTAATACCAATAAGCTTTTTTTTCTTTCTTTCTATATTTGCACAAGTAAGTCTATAAATGCATCTATAGAAAGCAATAAATTGTTAATTGTATAGAAGCTGTAAAATTTATATACTACACGTCTACTCCAGAATAACTAGATATATGCGGATATATATGTGTGTGTATGTATTTACTTTAAACCTAACCATATCTACTCACAAATATGAATATGAGTAATTTAGTTGACAGGAGGTCACATATGATTGAGAGAAACATTTGTTTACAATACACTTTTTTTTCAAAAACTTTTTGGACGATACTTATGAAGAAATTGTTTGTTTGTTTTCTCATCTATTCATTTATGAAGATAATTATAAGTGAACTTTCTAACTGTACTGATTTAAACTCAGGTGTTAAATATGAATCAGAGAACTATTTAACATAAGTGCAGATTAATTTAAGTTTCTAGATTATTCTAATAAGTCATGATGGAAATTTTTACGAAAAATGCATGTTTGATCTCACTTTTAAAATGCCAAAATGGCTTTCTTGTTTATTTACAGCCTGATAATCAGATCCAGTTGAAATTCGGCAATGAGGCTTGGTCAACAGAGTTGGTGTATGAAAAACGCTAGTGAGGTTACGGCATCATTTGTCATTTTTCAATTTTATGGAGAAATTTGAAGTGAGGTTCAATGTTCGACAATTTATAATTTATGAGATAAACCCTCACAAACCAAACTATAGAAAAAATTATTCTGATGCTCGCTAGTGACTTGCTACAGGATGCAGTTTCCTGGAGTTCTAGTGAGAAGTCGTGACCAGTGAGGTCCATTTAGATGTCACGTGTGTGGATGGATTTCCCACCAACGACAATGGTTGGGGTCGCGCTAAATCACGATTTGGTAGAAGTTAGAATTCATGAGCCATTGAATTGGGTCCCAGTGGCTGAATGGTATACGAGCTTACCTTGTAACCGGAAGGTCCTGGGTTCGAATCCCAGTGGGTGCGTACTGCCGATGATTCCCAAACTAGGATGAAACAGCAGCTGTCCAGTACTCCCTGGTTTTCAATGGTTCTCTAACTGATATCAGTCCGTGATCAACTCGTAAAAACATAATAAACCCTTACAAACCAAACTATAGAAAAAAAGATAAAAGAAAGGTTGATCATATATGAATGAGAACTGTTTTATGTTCTTAATGAGTCGGTGCTGAAGTTGTTATCAAGTCTAGTGATCAAACTTTCATTACTGGATATCTAAAATTGGGGGATGTTAAACAATCTACATAACACACTTCGAATTTTAATCAGCAATTGATTTACAAATGAAAGACAAGCGAAATTCAGGCGCATAAATGTTTAATTTAGGTAAAAGACATGGTCTGTGTGAACTGCTGGTATGCAGCTTCCACATTCGTATGGATTTATAGATATTCATTTTTTGGTCTTAATAAATGCTGAGAAAGAGACATATTAGTTACAGAATCCTTTTCCCTGACGCACACACACATACACATTTAACTGAGAAACTATCTCAGTGTTATGTAACGTTAGGTAGGATTACAAATGCCGTTATTACATTCCCTCTATAATTTTTCAGTCATTATTAATGATCGAATTAATCACCTGAACTAGCTTAAATACCGCTAGTTCTCATTTTAATTCCAGTACTGAAAAGCTTCAAGTTTAGTCGGTTGACATATTTCAATTCAGTCTACTACACTGGTCATATAAGTAGTATCAGACTTAAATAAAAGTTTTTCAATGTGACGAAGTTGCAAATATAAAAATACTATCATACGGTCTTAAAAATATAACTGAAATGACTAAGCTTAAAGTGATGAAGATGAGAAAACAGTTGGATACCAAGAGACATTACTATTCACTATTTTATTATTCTTGCTGTCTAAAAGTGATCCGTTCATGTTTGAACATGTAAGACACAAACTCTTTTAGTAAAAATAGAAAATATTCAAACATTGGATACATTTTCTCCTCATACTTCATAATTCGCTTGGGATTATGCAAATAAGCGAACACGAAGACAGCTTCAAAATCTCATTCAACATTTTAATTACGTATTTATTCTGTTGTACAAAATCCGGTGTTTTAATAACTTTCTTTTCCACAGGTCGCATTATTTAAGGGCTTCTTAATAAAAAAAAGTAGTCATTTGTAGTTAAGAAAGAGTTTCTTGCCACAGTGACTGGTTGTCTGATGGAAGTTAAATGTGACATGGTTGTCGACAAGCCATGAACTTAATGACTTATTCAAATATAATCTAACGATCCAAGCAGTATGTTCAAGTTCAAAGGAACGAAGTACCTGTTCAAGTGTTAGTTGGCAGGGACTTCATTTGATTGGTCACAGGACAGGGATTAATAAACAGATGTTTCGTCCTAGTTTGGGACTCTTCATCAGTATGCATCCACCGCCAGGGTTGAAAGCCAGGACCAGAGGGGCACAGCAGGTCGGGTGTGAGGACAAATAATCACCGATGACATTGGCTAGTGGTCACGCTATATAGTGAATTGGCAGAAGTAGGAATTCATGGACCATGGGATCGGGTCCAAGTTTCTTAATGATCTACGAGCTCGTCTTGCGACCGGAAAGCACGAGATTCAAACCCTGGTGGGTGCGTACTGATGAAGAGTCTCAAACTAGGGCGAAAACTCTGTCCAGTACTCTTAGGTTTTCCAGTTGTTCTCAAATCTATGCCAGCTCATGATGAGATCCAGGAACGAAGTACCTAACCTCACTTTAGTAATTCCTATATGAGTTACGAGACATTTTAGCTCTTACTAACCTATTGAATTGCTCATTTGGGTTAATGCTATGCACACCAGAAATTAATTTCCATTCTAATCTTGATCCTGTCGGATCACCTGTATCTAAAATCTTTACAAAATCATAAGGCAATGGTGTACTTTAATTTCAACATTCTTTCTGAAGCCACTCAAGTTTCATGAAAAGATGTACAAATATAGATTATTTCTTTAAGGTTATATTATCGATGGGTAGCAAATTCTGTATGAAATGCATATAGCATCTAGCTTTATTCACTGCAAATAGCGATTTCGTGGTGATGACGATCGGACTTTTAATGAATGCATTTGAACACCAATGGAATGCAAGTTTTTCAACTAATAGTATTAATGAAAGTTATTCAGACTGAGGAATAATGAAAACTTCTTCGCTAAGAAAATTGGTATATTAGTTTAGTTTATTTTCCTTTTCAGCTTTTGTGTAACACTTCTTGTGGTTGGTTTGCAGACGTGTAATAGATGTGAAGAGGTACTAGAAATAGAAATATAACACAGGGAAACG